ATCAAGCATTTAGAAAACATAACTTTCCCAAGTTTCCCATTATTTATCTAATAATGCCATTAATTCTGTAGTACAGAATTTCTGCCAGCTTTCCTTGCCATTTCAGATTTGATATTTTGTCTTTTAAGATTTGGGGTTTTTTTTAAGTTTTGACATCAGCTCTGGTGCTACTCACATCTGGTGTAACAGAGCTCTCTTGTCTGTGCCAGTTGTGCTCTAACAGGATGGCTTGGACTTGGGATTCTCCTTGGGGTCAATTTTACTTGGAAAACAGAGGTTTGTGTTCATCTCTGCCAGAGCTGCTCACTGCAAGTGTTCTTAAACAACAGAGCAGGGAACTGGCCTGGTAGCAGTAAATAAGACTCAAAAAAGGATTTATTTATTTAAGGGGAATGCCATCTTTCACAGCAGAAAACAGCAAGTCTCTGTTAAGCATACGAAGCTTAGAAGGGAGCTGTAATTCAGGGCTTTTGTGCAGAAAACACAGCAGTGGTCGTCTTCCTGCTGCTGGGCTGTTTGAATGTGCTGGAGCACAAGGGTCGTCGTGCAGCTGGAAGAATGGTGCTTTTAATTGTTAAATCTTTTAGTGCTCTCACTGCGGGTTGGCTCTGCAACTGATACAGTGGAAGTTGCAGGTGGAAATTTCAGGGACCTACTTTTTTTTGGAGGATAATTCCGCTGGGTTTGGTGTTGAGTATGAAATCTAGCCTAGAACTTGGAACATTAACTGACCTCTCAGTGTTTGGGGGATAGAATGTGGTATTAGGGAAATAATCTGTGAGGATTAAAATAATCTTTATGTGTCAATATGCTGTTAAAATATGTCCAAATCAGTTCTGGGTTTGTTTCCTTAATAAATGTGTTAAGTCTCTGAGAGGGATACATGAGGTCAGAGAGGTAAAAATAGTGCTACAGAAAACATGGTCCCACTTCAAATTCCAGGTAACAAAATAGTGCCATTGCTTCGACATTACTGGTTGTTGTTTTGTGGATGTGATATAAATATTCTGTGGCAGAACTGACTAATCCTCTAGCCCTTCTGTTGTCATCCAGATTAACTAAATGAAACTCAGAAGTATCATTTGGATATTAATATTTTACAGGGAGTTAGAGGCAATGTTCAGAGTATTGTCTGGAGCATTTTCCTCTTTAACGGGAATTCATCAAAAAAAATGGAATATTTGAAAAGAATCTTTAAGCCTTGGCAATTGCATTCAGAATTAATTAAAGGCTACACACTTTTAGTGCAATCTGTCTGCAACAGCTGTGTTATACACTAGCAATGAGCACAGGAAGCAGAACGGTTCAGTAAATCCATAAAGAGCTCAGTAGTGTAGCTTGTCATGAAACCATCAGATTTAAATGTAGGTTATCCTCCTCCTTCCTGTCCTCCCAGAGAGGTTGCGATGGGCTTAACTGAAAGGCAAGCATAAAAAAAGGCAGTGATGCCCGTGCTTGAGAAACAACTTGGCAAATGGAATCAAAAGACACTGCTGGCTTTTTTTCTCTCAGTTTTCATGTAGGGTGCAAATCCTTCTGGCTGCTGATAGCTACACACTCCTGCTCATTTCTAATGTGTGTTTGCTCACCTGGCAATAAATACAAGTTCATTTGCTAATGGCTCTTTAGCAAAGAGCAACAAAGGGCACTATATTCAGTGTTTATCCATTGTGCAGGGTGATTAGAACTAGCTTGCAGAACATGCTGTACTACCCTTTTGTTTTGTTTTGTTTTCTCTGTTCTCCCAGAGTCATGAGGACTAGATGGCAGTTTCCTACCTGAAATACCTTTGAGGGCTAGCTCTTAACAAAGTGACTTCTAGGTGGATATTGGTGACTGAAAGAAGAGTAGATACAGGTCAGACCTTTGAGCACAGCAAGATCTGCTTTTGATTATGGTCTGCTGGAATGAAGGGCTAGTTGCTTTTCCAATCTCTTTCCTGTACAGGTGCTCCAATAGGTAACGTGCTTTCAGTGAAACATTAGGGATAGGTTTGAAGACAGACTGAAGAGCTTGTAAGAATATCTGTGTCACTGGAGGAAATAACCTTCGTGTGCTGGATTTTGAGTTCAAATACTGGTAGCATGTGTGTGTTAGTTGTGCAGCCCTGGTAGTTGTCAGTGGTACTCTGTGGGGGACAGAGCAGTTGAGCAGCTTGTAGGCACAACCTCTAGCCAGAAAGCCACTATTTCAGGATTCATAAATCCTGGAGACACATGCTGATTTTACTGTGTGAGTGCTGGCAGAGGAAGGTTGCATTAGCTTGAAAGAAGATTACAGATCCCTCAGAGTGGTGTCGTTTAATGACGTCTTGTGATCCTCAGCTGCTTCCAGATCAAAGATTGTCTTCTCCATGTCAGTGTGGCTCTGTTCACAACATAGTCAAGCTCCTACTGTTGGATAGCCATCAGTCTATTGTTTTGTTTGCAGGCCTTTTAAGCTTTGAAACTGAGGAGGCTCCAGACAGTTGCAGAACAAGCCGCCGTGACATAGGCATGAGGTATAGAGACAGTTGTGTGGTTAAGGAGTCCCTTAAATCAAGTTCTCTCCAACAGTAATGGTGAGAATGCATTAAAAATAACTCACATGTTAGAGTTGTGGCAAGATCTGTTCTGCTGATGTAAACCTGAGGTGATGGAGTCAAGTTAGATCTCCCTCCTTCAGTCTGTGTGTTACCCCTTATCAGGCTTCCCAGGTAACATCTCCTGCCTGATGAGGGTTTCTCTCAGGTGCTACGGCGTGCTCTCTCACCACCATGGAAAAGAGACTCCAAAGCTAGCTCAGGGCTGTGTGCCAGCCTGGGTGAAGCAGAGTGTGTTCATAGCTCTGAAGCAGAAAGCACTAAGTGTCCATTATCAGGGCAAACAAAAGCCCCAGTGTGCACGTAGCCTAAACACGGCGCTGGTACGGTGTGAATCAGCGGCTGTGTGTGCCGGGGAAAGCTGCCAGCCCAGAGCCGGCATTCCTGCGCCCCGGTATATCCTGACAGCACTACCTACTTACCTACAAGAACCGTGTGAAGTGGAGCTTTTCCAGAGCTTCACAAAGCCTATATTTCATAAAGTGTTGTATTTATAATACCTTCCATCCGCTGGATTTCACAAGTAGACTAATCCTCTCAGCTGGTCTTTTGGTGGAGCAAAGATGCCAGTTTTACTGACAAAGGAGCCGGAAAGCAGACTTTTGTGTTTTGTTTTTTTTTTTGCAATAGCAGGGAAATAGGAGATGGATCTGGAGTGTTATGGCTATTGTTCTCAGCATTGCTACTGTGCTTTCTGCTCATTGTGTGCTGGATGTTGTACAGAATGAGTGTACAATTTGTGTGGTGAGAAGTTTGTGACATAAATTGATTAAGTCCTGGAGTAAATGCTGGAGTAGTTTTCTCTTGAAATGCTGCAGATCTTTTCCACCTCTGTGCTGTAAGCACTTCTGGGCTAATAGCACTTTGAGCTTTCCAGAAAGACCCAAGAGGGATGATCCCATAGGAGGGAAGTGATGATAGTTTTCTTAACTGTAACTACAAAATTAACATCGCTGAGTTGCCAAAATGAGCACAGCAGATTACAGGCCAGTTCTGGAGGAGATACTGCACTCATCAGCTCTTTGGAGCCTCTGACCCAGCTTGGCATCTGTGTGGCTCTTTGCAGCTTTGATACCACGTCTGTGAGAGGAGGAAGGGAAGGAAGGAAATAAATTCACAGCTGCATCACCACCTACTTCTCAATTTAAATGAGGTGGTACTCATAGTAAATTATTGAGTACTTGCAGCTGCTGCCCTTTCTCCATGGGGAAAGCATTAATCTAAATGTTGCAGGTACTTATTACCACATTTCCACCATGCTGTGGGGTTCCCCATGCTGTTGAGAGCAGTTGTTCCCATCCATGGCATGGCTTGGGTGGGTCACAGTAGATTTCAAGAGAAGTTGATCTAAATATCCTCTGGAGAGGAGCAGAATAGGTCTAGTGATTCCCAGGGTCTGTCCAACACCTTTCCTACTGGACTTGCTTGCACTTTGAGGCATGGGACAGGGAAGGAATGGAGCATTGTCCACAGAAGAGGCATGTTTAAATCACCTTTCAGAGTACTGGGAGGGGTGCTGTGCAGAGATGAGTGCCAGCAAGAGAATTCTACCCCAGAGAGTGCAGAAACAAGCGAGCAAGTCTTCCCCTCACCTGGATATGCTGTGTAACTTCCCAAGGAGATGGGGGCCCACAGGGACTGGCTTGGCAGGGCTGGGAGCAGACTGGTGGCCCCAGAAGAGAGGCTGGGAATGCTGTGACTGACATTCTGGAGGTCTCATCCTGGCACCCAGGATCTGCTTGGTGGGTCATGCTCACTGGCAGAGGCGGCATGGGAATGTTTCCTCTGCAGCACTAGTGGAAAAGCCTTAGACCCACAAGAGGCTGTTGATAGCCATAAGTGATAACAAAGAGAGGGTTTAATTATGATATCTAGATCAAATACAGGGTAAAGGGCTTATTAGTTTGCTCTGAATTAGATCTCAGGTACAATTTATTTAAACAATGGTCCTGCAGGTTTTGTTTGTCTTGGACAGCAGTTTGTTTTACTGTGGTGTTGCTCATTAATACTGTATACAGTGTGCTGGCTCCTATGGAAATGTGGTCCTGTCCTGGAGAACTTCCAGTATAGCATCTTAGTTATATTGTGCAGGAGTCGAGTTTAAACATGGCTTTTTCTGATATTACAAGAGTAGTGATCAGCTTCAATGTTTCATTACGTGCAGTATTGCAGCTTCTTCTGAGGATACTGTGCCTGTCATCTTGGTAGGGAGATGAGTGAATTAAGTTTCTGATGCTCCTGCAAGCTGTTGGTGTTTCTGCAAATGTCCTGTGCTGGCTCTTCATGTTTAGCTCTGTCTTCTATAGTTATTCATGTTCTCTTTGCCCATCTCTCATAATGAGAGTGCTGCTAAATGATTTTGAGTGTTAATCTTCACTTCTGGTTCCAAGGAGTCATAACAGCCTTTCCTCTCTTGCAGAGTGTTTACCATGCCTCTGGGAACGTTTCTCCTTCCTGTTCTCTGTTTCTTGGGAGCAGCAATTCCACGGGGACTGCAGTATGTCACATTCTCACGCAACACTACAAAATTCCTCCACCTGTCCATGGACTTGGAATCTGGGACCATTTATTTGGGGGCCACCAACTTTCTCTTTCAGCTGACATCTGACCTGCTGATGGAGAACATGGTTCAGACTGGACCAGTTCTGGACAGTAAGGATTGCCTCCCCCCGGTCTCAAAGCTGGAGTGCCCCCAGGCACACCACACTGACAATCACAACAAGCTACTGCTGGTGAACGCAGAGCAGAAGGAGCTCATCGTGTGTGGCAGCGTGCACCAGGGGATCTGTGAGAAGAGGAGCCTCTCGTCCATCGACCACGTCCTCTTCCGACCAGAGAGCCCTGGTGACACTCAGTATGTTGCTGCCAATGATCCCAATATCACCACTGTGGGACTCATAGCCTACTCAAAGGATGAGGTCCCCTTGCTGTTTGTGGGACGAGGGTACACTAGCCGAGGAGTGGGAGGAGGAATTCCTCCCATCACTACTCGAAATCTCAGGGCCCACGGAGGGGATGTTCAAGCAACAGACTCTCACTCCATTTTCTCCTATGAAGAAACAGCAAAACTGGCTGTGGGCCGGCTCTCCGAGTACAACCACCATTTCATTAAATCCTTCACTTACCGCTCGAGTGTCTATTTCCTATTCTACCGGCGGGACCTCAAATCTCAGTCACGCGAGTACAAGACCTACATCTCGCGCATCTGCCTGGATGACTCTCATTACTACTCGTATGTGGAGCTACCTCTGCTCTGCCAGAGCAAAGCCAATACATACAGCCTCCTGCAAGCGGCCTATGTCACCCGGCCAGGAAAAGACCTGGCCCAGGGGCAGCTGGACACCGAGGGAGAAGTGCTGTTTGCTGCCTTCTCTGCCTGGCAGGCGTCTTCTGGGAAACTGAGCGAGGAGTCTGCGCTCTGTGTCTACGCCATGGAGGAGGTGGATCGCCTGACCAACTGGACTAGGGATGTTTGCTACATGAGAGATGGGAAGTCAGAAGAAGGGACAGAAGTGGCATATATTGAATACGATGTCAGCTCCAACTGTGTCCAGCTGCCAGCGGTAAGTGGCTTTCCACCTTTGAGTAGTCTGCAGTGTGTTTTTGTGTTGCTTTGTGTTCCTGAAGTCATCCTGCTTTTGCAGATGGATGTTAAAATCTGTTTGGGTTAAAAACCTCAGGGCTCAGTCTGTTTTGCCCCACATGGGCAGGATTCCTTGCAGAGGGAGAGGGACTGCGTGTGGCAGTGGGAAGAGCATCTGACGTGACCTGGCCCTGAGACCTGTCTCATGGCAACACCAGGCAAGAACACTGAACCTGCAGTTCGGGTTGTGCTTTATCTGTGTCATCTCCTGGTCTGCACTGCAGGGAAGGAGAGAAGTATTTGTATGTGTACCTGTGTGTTGGGAAGGGGATTTAAGGGCTGTGCTGGATTATAGTGAGGTGCACCTCACAACAGCTGCCTGCAAGGGCACCCGGGAACAAAACAGAACATAAGCAAAACCAAGAGTCAGCACAGAGACATTCAAAGCCCACCTGGACATGTTCCTGTGTAACCTGCTCTAGGTGACCCTGCCTTGGCAGGGGGGTTGGACTAGATGATCTCCAGAGGTCCCTTCCAACCCTAACAGTTCTGTGATTCTGTGAAAATCCTAATTTCCTATAGACTGCTTTAGTCCTGCAGAATTTTTAGTCCAAGGAGGACCTTTTCCTGAGCTGTCTCTTCTTTGTCTCCAGAGCTGTAAGAGGTGGTAATCCTTCTTTAAATTCAACAACAAAGGCATGATGGGATGTTGCAGGATAAAAATGTGACCTAAAGTGGCTGTGACTCTGAATCCTCACAGTCTGGGAGCCACACTGTCTGGTGCTGTGATATGGGGGATAGTGATACAAACACAGGGCAGCAGCATTCTCCTGGATGCAGTGTCCTAGCATGAGACTCTGTGGCTGTGAGCAGCTGTTTGCACCAAGGGCGTTGCTGGTCCTTAGCAGAGCAGCATGTTATCTTGTGTCTCCCATCTATGGAACAGGCTGTGCAGATAATTGCATCCTCCCAGGCTTGTGCTACAAAGAGCAAAGTGGTACCACAGAGCTTTGGAAGTCTCGGGGGTTGGATGTGTGGTTCAAAACCAGTCTTAAAATAATGGTTTTCCCTTCAGAAGCTAAAGCTGACTGTAAAGTACTTGTGGGACAAGGGAAGGGTAAAGAGCAGACTTGGAGAAGGATGAATGTAAGGTCAGGAGGAGTATGTAAGAGTTGGGAAGCAAGTGATTGCCCAGCTTCATGTCCTGCTTTCACTGTATTTCTTAGCCATGCCCTATGTGTCCTTTGCAGGGCCACATGGAAGGACTTGTCACAGGTGATTTTTAGGGCAGCTGGATGGAGTTAAATGTCAAACCGGTGTGAGCATTTTAGAAAAATCTTTCATTCAAAATTATGTAGGGTCCCCCTGTACTATTTGATCCAGTGGAGAAGTGGGTGCACAGGGTGGGAAAAGAAGGCCAGTCTCTGCTATGTGATTCCTGGTGCATGATTCCAGGCTTCCATCTGCATCGTTTGGCACATGGTGGGCTGACCAAAGCCCTGCGTTTTATTAACAAGTGTGTCCAATGGTATGTAAATGTCCTAACAAACTCGATCCTTCACCATTCAGCACACGGTAGCGGTTGTCGTTCGGATTGTATCTAACAACGTGTAAGTGTCTGTGCCAGCTCCAGCCTGCTCCAGTCAGGGCTGAGTGGAAGCGCCTGTCAATGAGCATTTTATGCAGGAACAGTTTTAACTCCTTTTCAATGGTGGCAGCTTGTGCTGGATGTAAGGATAATGCTAATTAATTTCACATTTTTCTGCCTCCAGACCAGCCTGTGCGCAAGGTATGCCCTTTTCCCTAGTTAACTCTGCCTCCAGATTTTAGCCCATCAGGGGAGGCTAAGATTGAGTTTTACAGTTCAATACAATCTCTTCAACTGGGAAAAAAAAAATTGCTTGTTTTTATAAGAATTTCAGAAGCAGTTCTTTTGTTCAGTTTGCTGGAGATCTGTTGTTAGTCGTGAGATGCAGGAGACTCTGTCGATGCTGTTTAGTGACTTGATAATTGGAAGTGTGAAACATGTTTCTGCAAGGCTTGGGAGGGCTGCATGTCTTCTGTGGGTGTAGTTTTCAAGGCATGTACCTTGTCCTTTTGCTTTCACTCCTCTTCATGCATAGATGTAGATTTGTCCTGTTGTTTCCTGCCTGTGCAGGTAGGAAGCAACACCAGAATTCACAGCAGCAGCTTCATCCAAACCTGCTGCATCACAGTAGGACACTGGATGGTCCCTGCAGTGCATTTTCTGCAACGTTGCCAAGATGTTACTCACTGAAAGCAATTCAAACAGCTTCTGTGTAAATTTATATAAGTAATTTATACAGTTATCATGGTCTTAATCCTGTAGAATGGAACAAGTTCCAGCGCTTGGCTGTGATTACCCTCACTGAGGCCACGGCCGGGCTGTGTCAGTGCAGGGAGAGCCTGCACAGGTCACGTTGGTTTATGGTGGATAAATGTGTGTGAGGTGACTTGCCCTTGGCATCACAAATAGGCAACAGCAGTGCTGAGCACAACTGGGGTAAGAGTATTTCTGACTTGCATGTGTGGGTTTTCTTAAGCAATGCTTGAAAAATTGGCCTCAGTAGTGAGGTTGTTACACTCCAGACCTTGTCTGAATTGGTACAAAGCTTGCAAAAGATAGCTGGAATCCCTCTGAAAATAAATACCTAATGCTTTGGAGCATGGAAATGTGGTGGTGGCCTTCTTCCTAATAAATCTCATAGGAACTAGAGAACTGGAGAAATAGAAATCTCTTAAGTTACAAGAAGATTGAAAGAATGACAGAGCTGATAAGAAAAATATATGTGTCACTAAAAATGAATGATAGTTTAGAGGATGATAAAAACTAAAAATCATTAAAAGTTATAACCTCCTCTGAGGTTTTAAGTTGGAGCCTTACACCGACCATGCAGAAAATCACTGAAATAGAATTTGAAAGGAAAACAATAAAGCATCAGACTGAAAACAGTGCTAATGTAAACTGGCATGGTTTGTTACATGGAACTGCTGTGTCAAGCTTTGCTTCCCTGATAACATAGCAATGCATTTAAGAAAGCAACAGAGCTCAGCAGGTTAAACATATTTTACTGGGGGATTTCCGTAGACCTTGTCAAAAGCTGCTGATCGCTTTTCTTTTCTCCAGGAAGCAGCTAAGTATTTAAAACAAACAAACAAACAGAAAACCCCAACCACAACACAAACAGAAAAAAAAACCAAAACAAACAAAAAACCCCAGAGAAATGGGAGGAGAGGAGAGAAGGGGACAGGTTTTCCGTGAGATCGGTGAGAGGTGATAAGCAGATGCCTCAGGAATGCCACGTTGTGCTGTTATCGCTGATCTCTGACGGGGGCAGCTCCACTGCCTGGTGCCGGATGGTACCGTGCAGCTGAGCACTGCCAAATGCAAAGCCACGGACATCAGACAGAAGGAATGTGTAACCCGGCTCACAAGGAGTCTAAATTCAACCACGTTGCCTGAGGCAAGAGAGGGAGCTGGAGTAGATGTAGACTGCACGGTTAATGCTGCTGCTCCACACGCAGCTTTGTAAGAGTAATTAGTAAGGGGCTGGAGAGGTGAGTGAAAATGTTATCCATAAGGGATTTCATGATGAAAATAGTGTGTTTACACAAGCCACATTGTTTGAAGACAAGCCACTGATCGATTACAAAATGATGTTTTACATAATAATTGTTGGGTAAACAATCCTGCATTCGGTCTCCAAAAGGATACTGTAAAATTATAATGGAAGGAAACAAGGTGTCAAGAGAGATATAAAACAACAAAGGAACTATCCTAGACAAGACTGAGTATGTTACTTAGGGAACAGGTGAATCATAATGGAATATCTTCGTAAATAGTAAATAAGTTGGCAGTTTTCATTGTCTCTCCTTTAGAATGCAGTAAGTGAAGGTTTGATGGGACTGGAAGGGATCTGACAAGCACAGAAGGATGACTGTTTCTGCACTGTGCTGTGGAGTTAATGTTCAGAACCCTCACAGGACTCAGAAGAATTGCAGCAGTGTGCAGCAATGACTCTTGTATGTGCTCTATGATTCCTAAGTGTAGTTAGTAAGCACTTTGGAGCAGGTTGTATCCCACCCTGTGTCCTGATGTTTTGGGATTCTGCTTCAGGTGCAGAATTTAATTTGTAGCTGATACAACAAAAGCATGTATAATGTTTCACACGATACTTGTCACCAGGTGTCTTTGCACTGAAAGCAGAAATTCTCATCTTTTTCTTTTGTTATGAAAAATACCATAAATCTTCCTCAAAGCTGTATCATGGCAGTGTATAGCCAGTAATGTTTTTTGGAGAACTTGCAAAGGAGTTTCAATGCATTCCATTACTGATGCTGAATAGACTGGCCGAAATGTCTTCAGGATTCTGTGAAGGTACAAGCAGCTAACATACCTAAACTAATTATTAAAATATGGCTGGTTTTGCTCTCAGTAAAAAAAAAGGCTTAGAGGGATTCAAAGCTGAATTCACTGCTGGGGCACCTGTTTGAGGAATTTGGGTAGAAGAGGATGGTGGGAAGTGTTAAGTGTGCTAATGTTCCTTGTATCCATTTTTTTGGTACTAATTTCCCTCTCCTTTCCACTTCCCCTAAAAGGACACCCTGTATGCCTACCCCTGTGGCTCTGACCACACTCCCAGCCCCATGGCCAGCCGTGTACCCTTGGAAGCAGCTCCGCTCCTGGAGAAAACCGAGGCCCGTCTGACAGCTGTGGCAGTGAATGTGGAAGATGGCCACACCATTGCTTTTCTGGGAGACAGCAGAGGGAGGCTGCACAAGGTATGATCTGGGTTCAACAGAAAGCAAAGAGGATAAAACTAATCCAGGATGCTCAGGTGGAAAGGGGAAAAATGCAATTTCTCTTGTCCCTTGGGAAGTCGGGTTCCTACTAAAGACTGTTACTATCAAACAGTCTCTTCTCACACTCTACTGACTGTGGAGAATGTGAACACCCCCAAACAGTGGTCACGTTGCCTTTGGTTACATCTGCACTGAGCCAGCATCAGGGCTGGTGCATCCTGCGTGGTTTCTGCAGGTACTGTGAGGCACGTGCTTCATGTGGCCGAAGTCATGGAGGTTTTGGTGGGAGGTTGAAATCCTTGCACGCAGCAGGAGTTCCAACTTGTTCCTGATGTAGGGTGGGTGTCCCCAGCTCCTGTTACGATGCTTTGCCTGCACTCAGCTGTGATCTCCTGCAGGTGTACATAGGAGCCATGGGAGATGCACATATATACACTTCGTTAGCTGTCCCGTCGAACAGCGTGGTGAGTGGAGACCTGCTGTTTGACCAGTTGCAGGAGCACCTCTTCGTCATGACCCAGTCAATGGTAAGAGCAATACAATCCCCGCCACAGAGGAGTTGAAAGCATTTGAGGTCCAAACTACTGACGGGAGCGTGGGAGGCAGAGGAACTTTGTATGGCTAAGCCTGTGCTGGGCAGCAGCTGCCTGTCAGTCTGACTTACAGGGAGGGGGACTGGCCTTTTCCAAAAGCTGGAGGAAGCCTCGTTACCCTAAACCGTGTCCTGTTCGCATGTGCATTTTCCTAAGTCTGTCAGACTGTATCAGCAATGATGGAGGAATGTGAACTGCAGGCTATAAAAGGCTGCTCTGCTGGCATGAAGACAAGAGACCACAAATTCCTGGGTTCCACTGTATTGAGCAGGAATTGTTTGGACAACAGTCTGCATCTCCATCTGAGCAGAATAATGTGAGCCTCTGGGTTCACATGTGACCCATCTTGGTTTCGCAGGAGATTAGAAGAGAAGAGGGAGGTTTTGTGTATTAAAAGTGTAGCACTTCTGTTTTTAATCAGTTAAGAGATTAAGCTGTTCTTCTGTAGGCATGTAACCTACAAAAAGCAGGAATGTGTGGGAAATGTCTGCAGATAGCAGAGGTGTGCTCTGACCGGGAATGTAATAACAATCTTGCAGATGAAATCAAGCTGTATAAGGAGCCATGTGAGGCACCTTTCCCTCTTCTCCTGCTTTCTGTAATTCTGTTTGCACCCAGAGGCAGTTGGAGGAAAAGAGGCACTGCGATGCCTCGGGCTTTTGGGATATTGGTGTCTGCTGAGTAGGAAATCCAGCTATGGATACTTTATTTGAGAGGATTTGTACAACACCACTCATATCAGCGACTTGAGCTGGAAAGAAAAGGATCCTCCTAGCAAGGGGAAAAGCAGCCCTTGAGTTACTCTGAAGGAAAGAACAAACAAAAATGAGAGCATGCTGGAAAGCTACTGCTTCCCTTCACTCCCCCAGTGCAGCTTGAGATACTTGTAAAATTTGTAACACTTCAAAGGAGGAGTTGAAATCTGTGAGTGGAAGAAGATTAGGGAAATCTGAAATATATCCTTAACAGTAATTGTTCTGTCAATTAAAAGATGCAAATTACATCATGTACTTAGCAAAAGTAATGGGTCTGGGATTAGAAGTTGGTATTTCAAAGTAGCTGACAGTAGTAGCTGAAGTGTAGTAGTGGATTAAAGAGGGTAAGAGGCTGAAATCAGCAAGGATGGTAAGTTAAAGCAGAGAAGTTTTGCAAGTAAAATTTACCTCTAGATGGCAGAAGGTTTTTGTTCCACATTGATCAAAGTTTCATGGTCTACTTCCAGTCAGCTCTACCAGGTAGAGCTGGACAATAGTGCAGATGGATTCAGAGGCCTCAGCCAGAGCTGCTGTCTCCAGCTTTAGTCACCTGCGTGTCAAGAGAGATCTTGTATGACAGAGTCCAGAAAAGTAAAAGAATGGATGATATTCAGTCTGCTATTCTTTAATCTACTTTGTTAAAATACAGTTTTATGACTAAATAAAGTCACCTCCTTGCAAAGTGTGTCACAGATAACTTATGAATAGCAATATGCTTTACTTGCCTCAGTGCCTCTGTACAGCATGGTGTGAAATGGCCATTCAGATGGGCTCTGGAAACTTGTTCCTTTATTTTTTGCTTGTTTTTATGGGAAGATAAAGTGGAGATTGAGAAGTTGCTTTGGTGAGCATGCAAATATGGGACTTTTTAGTTAGGTATAAGGAGCCAAAGATCTGGAAGCTTTGTTGCCTGTAATGTGTTTTCACTTTTCATTTCTTTTTGTGACAGGTGGTAAAGGTTCCCATAATGGAATGTTCCCTGTACTTGGACTGTGAATCCTGTCTGGCACTGAAAGATCCCTACTGTGGCTGGTGTGTCCTTCAGGGACGGTAAGATAGATCCCTGTTCACCTGCAAGGATTTTAGAGAGATAGTGCTTAGGGATTGTCTCTGCTTCCTCTTTTCTTATATCTCTGTCTGGATTTAGTTTATTTTTAGTTCCTTTGTGGGATATTCACTCTAACTTACCATTCCTCTTTCTGCCTCCCTAAAAGGGCATCTTTTCGTTGCTTTTTGGGTCTTTGCTCACCACTCACGATTCTCCTGTCCAGTGGAATTCAGCCTGGCTTTAGTCTGGCTGCAGCTCAAACTGCCTCATTTCAAATGTAAAGAAACTATCTTGTCTCTTCTTCTGGTGTCACTCTCTTATTTATCAATCTTTCACTTCTTGCTCCCCTACTGATGTTGCTTAATGAGACATTGTTTATTCCAGTGTGTGTGTGTCTGCTTGCTGGCTCTGTTCCCCTGTAGAAAACCAGAGGAACTAGTTCATGACCCTTGAAGCTCCAGAAGTGCCTACCCATCTATATTTTGGCAACAGTTCATCCTATTATTGAAAGTGGTGGGAAGCTGGGACTTCTGTGGCTTGTGTAGCAGCTTCCCCAAGACTCTAGCAAGGCTTAAGACAGTCAGTGTCCCCTTGGAAGCCAAACCCCTCCTGCTGCACAGATGTCTCACAGGGCTTCTTGCTGTTTCCCTGCAGGTGCAGCCGTCGCTCCGAGTGCTTGCGGTCCAGGTTGAGTGAGCAGTGGCTCTGGAGCTTTAACTCTACCCAGCAGTGTCTGTCTGTCCAGTCACTAACTCCAGCCAATATCAGCAGGGAGGAAAAGAGAAATGTGAGTGGTGATGATCCTCTGATGATGCTCAAGCTGTAGAGAGTCCCCTGTAGACTGAGAAGTCACAAGTCTTTCTGTGTCTTTCTGTGGGGTATTGAACCACTGAACCTTCAAGCATGTTCTTTGCTTACATGAGGGACTTATCTCCTGGTACTGCCAAGTTGTTCATTTAATTGTTTGGGGTTTTTTTCCTCATAATACTAAATGTCCTTGCCTGCTAAGAGTTACCTGGTATTTTGGAGTATGTGATGGCTGCTTGGGTGCGATCCCTCCTCATTTTAGTATCTATAGGGTGCCAGTGTCTCTGCTTTCAATGTTTGTTCCTGACACTTGCTGTCAGGAAGATCTGAAAGGAGTTACCCAAAATTACATCTCCAGTCTGGCATGTGAGAGCTGGCAGAAAAGCTAAGAAGGTGCCGGAGTGATTTGAAGTCTGTCATTGTGTCAGGAAGTGGCAAGAACCTGTCTTTTGCTAGAGGCTGGGGCAAAGGGGGAAGTTGTCAGTTACTGGAGAAATGCCAAGTTCAGTTTGGGAATGGCAAGAGATGATGAATGGAACAGTCGGTCCTAAGAGACATTATAGGAAAATGAGTGTATGTGTAGATAACTACTTTATGAGGTTCTTCCTTTGAAAAAGCAGAACCAGAAAATTAGATGAAATGAGGGCAAATTATTAGAGGGCAAATTATTTACTGGATAATATTGAATTGGCAGATATTCTTGGCCATCTTGGATTTACCTTCTCTGCGTGAGGAAGAATTTTACTCGTGTTACTTTGAAGATTATGAAAGCCCAGCAGTTCTGACAGAGTCAGGAATCATGTGTCCTTCTCCAGATCCCAGCCAAGCACCAGCTTTGCCAACAGGAAAAGGTTAGTGAAATGCTTTAAATGGAGCATGATAGCTCTGATAACATTGTTGGGAGAAAGTACATTGTAGGTCCATTAGATTGCCAGGATTAACAGCCATGAGCGTATGTGGACTGTCAGCAGGTGTTCATTTCATTCCTCATAATATCTGTTTACTTTCTGCTTGTGTGTCACACACATCCTGTGCTATTTTGGGCTGTTGCCAAATTCCAATGCCAAATTCTGATAGTTGGAAAAGAGATCCTGTTTGAAGGGTTGTATGCAAATCTGAGTGTTATTTGAAATGCAGTCTCGAGGGGTGACTGGTTTGGCAGCTTTGTCATAAATCAGGAGAGAGAACTCTCTTCAATAATGCTGTATTATTTAAAGCAAACAAAATGCAAACCTTCTCAAAATCCATGTAGTGGGAGAAGGAAATACATGTAAGGAAAGGCAAGAAGAGACCCACAGTCCTTAAAGTTAGAAATAAAGCTGCAGTGCGGCATAACCTCAGAAGATACTTAGTCAGCCTGTGAACAATAGCTGGCTGAGTATTGCTGATTGGCCACTCTAAAGGACCTGGAAAGTTCTCAGTTTATCTTCTTCTCATTGGATTTTACCCAGCCTGTCAGTGTGAGCTCTGATGAGCTGATCTCTTCAAAGAGCTTGTTCATCTGATGTAAAAGGCAGATGCCAGTTGGGAAACGTTCCACACAATTCACCTAAAGGGCTGAACGGATTTTCCAAGCAAGTATGCAGCTGGCTAATAGGTCTGAAGCAATCTCCATGGACATAACATGACAGCTAACACACTCATTCAATCTCAAACTCCTACATTTTCAATATTATTTACCGTATTATAATATCTGGCTTTCACACTACTGTAGCCTGGAAGAAAACAACCAGGGTGGTCAGAAACAGAGGGAAAGGGCCTCATGGACTGCCACTGCAGGCAGAGTGGGCAGGATTGGCTTCCCTGTTTAGCTGTGCAAATGTGGGCCTGAATTTAAACAGAGTTGTGAAAATCAGTGTAGTTAAAACCACAGTCTAGTTCTCATTATTCCGGGGTTCAGATATTCTTATCAACTCCTTTGTAAGTCAGTCTTGCTTTTAATCCAAGATGCTTTACCTACGTTATTTTCATATTGCATCTCTGAGGCTTATCCAGCGGCTCCTGTTCTGTGGCCTAAACCTGCTCGTGGATGGTTTCTGTCTATTTGATCTATTTGTGTTGTCCTTTTGCTTCCGCAGCTCTTCTCCCACTCGATGGACGGGCATTCCTAGCGTAGAATTTTGCCATGTTAACTGTGCCAACTCTTCTTCTGTTCCTTAGACTTCCTCTCTAGTTCACTCTACTGCTAGTCCTTCTTTGTACAGCGTCTGTACTCTGCTAAGATGAATTTGAAGCTGGTAACTAGATTCATACATTGCTTTTTATGTGAGATGTCATCAGGGCCTTAGATACCAGCACTTTCCTGTTCCTACTTATAATACTTTCCCCAGCACACTAAAGTATTTGCCTTTTTCCAGCTTTCTTTTAAAGGTTGCATACCAGCTTATCTGTGCTACCAGCTTGGGGCTCAACAGCTACAAGTGACAAACTTTTACTCTCAATTTGCAAGTGCTCGACCTCATCTTCTGTACTGTCAAACAGCATTATTGGCATCATGGGAAATAATGGCCTCTTTGAAGAAAGGAATATTTATAAATATGGTGTCATAACCCTGAAATGCTGGGAGGTGTTATCCCTTCCAACACTGCCAAATGCAATCACCTCTATGACAGTGATAGGAGTTGGCAGTACTGCGGTGACTCCAGCCTCCAGCCGCATAGGATACCCTTATTTTCTCCTAATCATAGGTTTCCATACACCCCTAATTACTAACTGATTGATTAGCATACTGCTTGACTTGTTGTCCTCTCAGGAACCCAGCTTAGGCCTGACTGATTCTTCACATGTTAATTGTTTTGCTGTGACTAGAGCTTGCTTGCAAGAGGAGCTCTGAATTCTCAGTCTGAGAGGAACAGTGGACAAGGTTCTTGTTACTTATTTTTGTAGCCAACTGCCTTTGAGAAATGACAGCTCCTGGACTGGAGCAGTTCTCCATTATTTGAAGAACTAATAACCAACTCTGAGGTTAGAGGCATTTGTCTAGAACAAGATTAATTATCTGATTTAGTACTGTCATATGCAAAATATCTCCTTTAGGCTAATACTATCAGCTGCAGCAAGTTTTGACCATCTCTGCAGCTGTTTGGTCTACAGAAAACAGTGACAGTCTTTTCCCAAAGAAAACAGGGCTATCCTGAGGCTTGTAGTTGACGTGAGATCTGGATTGAAAGCAGATAAGCCTTCAGTTGTTGCAGCTGAGATTACAAGTCTCTTATAAACTTCTTCACTGACTCAGTTCTCAGTCTGGTTGTAGAACAAAGCTCTCAAGGTGAAGGCAGTATGTGAAGGGCCATGTCCATTCTAAGGGTTTCATTTTCCTTTGGATGACAAAGAAAGACAATCAGCTTTGAGCCTCAGTGTTACATCTTCCTCTAATACAGAGATGGCAGTGGAATTATAAAGACTGAGGGATCTTCAGACTAGGCTTCCTTCCCATGGGTTGGCAAGAGCTGTCACAAACTACACCTGACAGACTTGTCCAGTCTGTTTTTAGTGTCTGTAGGATAATCCAGTGATTGAGATGCTGGAAGCATGGAAGGGGATCTGTCTCTGTGTTTGACAGTGTCTCTCCTAAAGCATGCTGTATCTCCTAACAGTATGGCAAACTATTATAGGGGCTCCATTTCTAAGAAATTTTTATTTTCATTTTCAGATCATGTCACCATAAAGCTCGTAGTGCGTTTCCATGACATCTTCATTGCTTCTGTGGACTTCTCTTTCTATGACTGTGCTGCAGTGGCCCTGCTGTGGAAATCGGCACCGTGAGAACCTGCTTTTTCTGTTCTGTAGTTCTAGTGAGGGTGGCTGTACCTTCCTGGGTCGTCTTTTCTTAGCAGCTGCTTTTCTGTCATTGTCCCAGGTGTCAGAAGTGTGTGAGCAGTCTCTGGGGATGTAACTGGTGCATCCAGCAGCACCTCTGCACCCACAAAGCAGCCTGTGAGGAGGGAACCATTATCTACAATGAAAGGGTATGTCTCCTGCTCAGTCCTAGTCCTGTGTGCTGTAACAGCCTCAGTGAGTCAGATCTCTTCTCAGGTAAAATAGCAGCTGTCAGTAACATCAAGCAAGGAGGTGAGCAAGGAGGAGCTCCCCTTGGAGTGACACGAGGCTCTGCATCCCTGATACTACAGATTTCTGGGGAAATGCCATCAGCTGAAGCAGGTCACACTTATCCTGGGGCTATCCAGCCTGTGTTTTCAAAGTGAGGGACAAGAGCAAGCTGACCGGGAGGCTGCAAGTGGGGAGGTGGAACAGATGCCATTTTTGGCTGCCACAGGTGGCCTTGCAGTTTTGCGGGGGATGAAGACTGGCAGACCTCCCTCTGAGAGGAGGTGAGAGCAGGCACCCGTGGGAAGAGGGAATGTTGCTGGATTTTCTGCACTGTGAGCATTCCCCAGCCCCATCCCAAGAAGACAGCATAAGATACAGCTCTCATTAAAATCCAGAGGGTGAAGCAGCTTCTTGCCTATGAGAAGTGATACAGAGTGTTTCTCTGCTTGGGTTTTATTGTTTCATTTCTTTCCCTCTTCTCCCCCCACCATGTTGTTTTTCTCTAGGCCCAGATTCCATCCTCAAGTGTGTATCCTTCTTCAGCCGCTCCCCTCACCAAGTCTTCTACCACAGCCCCAACCATGGCCACAAAACCCGTCACTACCCCTGTGCATGTGGGACCAAGCACTGAGGCCCCCACAGAGCCCATCCACATCACACCCTCTGCAGCCCCAGATCCGATGACTGAGCCTGTGGAAACCCTCAGCTACACGTACCTGACTCTGTCGACCGAAGCCGCCCCTCTCCAGGCCGCCACAGAATCCCCGCTCCCACCACCAGCAGACAAACCTGCTGTCACTGTGCCAGAGACAACCTCTCCCGCTGCATCTGTCCTCACCAGCCCATCCAAAAATGTGGATCACGCAGCCCTGCCCACTGAAGGGCCAGCCACAGCCCAGGAGCCACGGCACACCGACCCACCCACCACCCCCGTGGGTAGCCCCCTGCACACGTCTGCAGCTGCAGTAACACCTTCCTCTCCTGTCACCAGTTTCAAGTGGGCTCCAAGTCCTTTTCCTACCACAGAAGCACTGACATTTGCCATCCCATCTCCCCAGACCCCCAGCCAGGTGCCAGGGAGCCCTGTTGCCTCTGATGACTCTCCTGGATTGCTGGGAACTGAACTATCTGCTTCAGAGCTCCCACCATCAGCTCCCCCGGAGTGGCTGCTGGAGGAAGGCACAGAACTCCAGGACACAGAGGACTGGATGGATTTGCTGCAGGCTGAGAATGACACATCTCTCTTCTCTGCTTCTACTCTTCTGTCGGGTGATGGCGATTCTTCAGAGAGGGATGTCCCTGACTTTCCTCGGATCCTTCACCCTGACCTTGATTATCAGTATGATGCCCCTGAGTTTTGGGAGGAGGTAAGTTACCGGGCTTTGGAATTCATAGACTAAGGCTTGTAACTCTTTGATATTTTCATGCAGATTGCCAGTCTAGTATTTCAGCACTCAGGAGAGGTTCTGCCCTGTGTTTTTTTCAGAATGAAGAGCCTAGCTGGGGTCCAGATGCATGTCCCTGTGTGCAGGGAATCCAGGGATCTTCACTGTTTCCAGTCAACGTGGCGAGGAAGATAACTCTGCTGGGAAAGAACTTCCACCTCTATCAGGTAGTCAGCTCAACACCATCACCTTTGAGAAACTGTATTATTACAGGGCACTGTTTGGGCAACCTGGCCACTGAACTGCTGAAAATATGTGTAAGACACAGTTGTGGCTTTGCCTAGGTTTCTCCTAGAGGAATGACCTACTTCTGTGCATAAAGAATTCCATAGCTGGATTTATTGGTGGGTAGAAAGTCACACAGAAAAAGGGAGAATACAGGTGTGCACCAACCTACTGGAGAAGATCTGCATGCGTTTGGATTAAATTGCACCTGTGCTGCACTGCAGATGCTAGTTTTTGGAATAACTTCCTGCTCAATCCCTGCTGATTGTTTGTGTCTCCATAAACTAAAGATAAGTCATCTGTTCCCTTTCCTTTCTGGCATGCTCAAGTTAATGTGGCTATTCCTGTCATACCTGAAACTTCTGCAGTGGGGAAAACCACCCTTGACAGCTGTTTCTTGGGTGTGGCTTTGATAAAAATTCTCTTTGCTTCTCAAGACGGAAGATGATTTAGTAACCTTTTACAAACAACTGCCTCGGAACATGCAGCCCACAGTCTGATTGTTTATACGTTAAACCTGACATACTGCACTGCTCAGAGTAGCAGAGCTGGTTACAGATAGATGCATATCCATTGTTTTTACAAGAAGTATCTAAGCAATTCAGTGGTAGGTTTGCAGGAAAGAGAGAGAGAGAGGAGAAAAAGACACTTAGTGTTTTTCACATGCTCTGCCCTAATCTGTGTACTCCACTCTTCACTTCCAAGCTGTTTCACAGAGACAAACAGGCATAACTTCACAGTCCCACTGGTTTTCCTTTAATTCCCTCCTTTGTGCTGGGTTCTCCCCACACTGACACACGTGCTCCCTTCTAGGTGGTTTTTTTGTGTTGGTTTACCTTTCATACATGGAGGCAGTGACAGCATAGAGAACCCTTGAATGTAGTGTAGAGTTGGCATAATGAAGGGAATGGGAGGAGCACACTGCTGGCACAGTAGGTGGCTTGGTAAAAGGTACTGAACTGGAGAGGCAGGACGACACTTGTGCAGCCTGAAGCTGTGTCATGGAGAAGTGGTGCCATGTGTCTCTTCTCTGCAGGACCAGCAGTGGGACTATGAGTGTGTCCTGAATGTGGAGGGGAGGACAGTGGTGATGGATGCTTATGTGGAAGGAGATGAAACAAACCTGTCTCTCTGTTATATCACCTGCCAGATGAACCAGGTGAGTGCTCGGATTACTGTGCCATTTCAGAATTCACACTGGTGCTGGTTTTGCTCAGCAGGCTGGAAGGCAAGCTCTGGGGAAAAGAACATGTTTTGCAAAAATATCTGTAGGATATTTAGCACTATGGGGCCCTCATCTGTGATGCTGCTGCCCAGCAGTACTGGTATCTTCAACTTGCAGGAAGGTTGTGCAGTCTGAGCCACACAACCTGTTGGTGCCTTGGCTGTAGCAGGGGATGATGCTGTCTCTGAACTGGCCAGCACAGTGCTTCTCCTGCTTTAGCTTGAGGCACTGTTGTTTGTCATTCTCTGGATTGTGACTTCTGTGATAGTTGTTCTGTTGTGAAAACTGCTGTCAATGCCAATATTCTTCCTTGGCAGTAGAAGCTAGCCTGTGGATTGTAAGATTACCGGCAAAATTAAAACAGCCATGTACGTTTCTGGATGATGTGTGAATTTTGCTTAAGGCAAGATTTGCAAGCAGAGGTGATATTTTTAGTTCACAAGCTCATGTAGTTAAGGGAGAAGAACAACATAGGCTCTTGTGCACATGAGCCCTACAGACCAGTTGTAATCTTACATCTTTAGCTCTGCTGAAATGGCATAAATGCCAGCTTGAGCAGTTTTCTGAGCAAGTGGCTTGTAGATAGGAATACGCCATTTAGGAATGCAGTTAGGAAGTTCGACAAGTATTGTTATGAGCACACATTTGTTTTCAGTGTTCATCCAAGTGAACAAAGCCTGCTGCTTTTTCTAGAGCAGAATTGTGGCTGTAGGAATCAGTGAGGACAGGCCTGTGCTGCCACTGCCCCAGCTAACACTGCCTCGTCTGCATGCATGGGAAGCTCCGTGTAGGCTGTATGTGCCGTGCACTCTGCAGGGCAGATGCTGATGCTTTTTGCCTATTCAGATGTTTTGTTGTGCCTCTATTAAATCCTCTTGATGGTCTTTGTCTTTTCAGTACAGTTACACGGCATCTCAACTTGAATTCAACGCTGTGGTGTTTGTGCAGAGGCAACGACACCTTCGAGTGGACAGTGCTGCAGATCTTCACGGTAGGAGTGCAACACCTTCCCAGAAGGAAAACATAGAGCCTCACTTCCCTTGCTTGTCACAGGGGCAGGAGGAGGAGCGGGTTCTGTGTAGGGTGCCAAGTTCCTGGATTGTTCTGTGCTCTATGGGGATGTTTGCAGATGCCTCTGACTTTTTCTCCTTTGCAGTGACTTTTTACAACTGCTCTGTGGGACACACTGATTGTAGCCGATGCCAAACAGCTGACTCAAAGTACAACTGCGTGTGGTGTGGAGGTGATAACCCCAGCTGTATCTTCAGGGGCTCTTGCAAGGAAGAAATTGAAGACCTGTGTCCAGCACCTCTCATTCACTCTGTAAGTAATTTGCTCGCTAGTGTACTGCACCCGGGGCAAGGAGGGCTCTGTTCTGCAGTGGAAATTAAAGGGCTGTGAACCCAGAGTGCAAACAGTGCAGCTCGATAACACATTGGCCATCTGAAGAGCAAGGTAGTCCTATTCAATTGTGATCCCTCAGTGTTGTGAGGATTCTAGGCTGTTGTGCTGGGTTTTCAGTTTGCTGATAGAAAATAGTGGGGAAAGATGCATTTGTATCTCGTGCAAGCTGAAAATGGTACACCAGGAGCAGAATCATTCAGGAGCTGGGAAAGGATCCACAGGATGGATCCTCCAACTGTCCCCAACCAGACCCTGAAACAGGTCGGCCCAACTGAGCCTGGAGCAAAGGAGAGCAAAACCTAATGATAACAGCACAGCAAAGATGGGAAAGGCATGAGAGATTACTGGAATTAATTATTTTTGTCTGTTTATTTTAAATGTTTCTTGCTAACTGCCACATGACAAGTGTCTGTAGCCATGTGTCCCTTTTGCTGTCAGTTTGTCCTCCCTCCAGTGGCACACAACATCCATGTGCTGCATCTTGTCTTAGTTTATCTTGGATGCTGCTCAGGGACAGAGCTTTGACGTTTGTGCAGCATGCAATTCATTGTCGTCCTGATGCTGAGGGGGGAATGGTGCTTGTTGCTTCAATACTAGTAACGTGTATTGGCTTGTGCATTCCCACTCTTCAGCACAAATGCCCTGTGGAGTGGTCAGCATGTTAATGGGAAGGCAAAGCAGGGCAGTCTTTGCCTTCCAAGTGGATTATCACCTCTGGGTGGGGACTGCTGGCAACAGCAAGGTATGGGAAAGAAGGCTCCAACTGTGGTGTTCTTTAAGGCCTTTCTTCTGGTGAGGCTGCAACCTAGTACTAGTCCAAGCCAGTAAAAAGAGTCAATAACAGTGAACTGAGCAGGCAGAGTTGAAGGACCCTGTGCTGTAGATCAGTCACCAGACTGCAGAGGTCTGAGATACTGTGACATTTACACATGTCTTTGCAGGTGTACCCCCTGTCTGGACCAGTGGAAGGTGGCACTAGAATCACCATCACTGGCTCAAACCTCGGGCAGAAACATCAAGACATTGCAGAAACTGTCACTGTTGCAGGAATTCCCTGTGCCGTAGATGCTCAAGAGTATGAGATCTCTAGCAGGTAGAGTATCTATGAAGCCTCCTCCCAGAGGCAGGCGCTGGCTTTTCCCTTGGCTGCTGACCCAGCCTGAGATGTCTTTGCCTTTGCTGTAGCAGGTATTGAGCCTTGCCTATTCCCCAGGAAGTGCCCTGAGTAAGGTCTCTCTCTGACTAGTTGCTTAGGCAGTGACCTTAGAGGAATAAGGTTGTGTACGAGACGACAGCCGAACGGCGATGCCGTATTCCGACCATGCTGCCCATACAGAGCCTGCAGTCCAACCAGGTCAGGGAGTCATGGGCTCAGAGCCCTGCAGTTCATGGATGTCTCTCCCAGCCACAGGGTGATTTCAATAGAGCAAAGGACATGGCTCGTGCAAGTGTCACTGATAGGGAAATATCCTGACCATGTTAACACAGGGTGAGGATGGAAACACGTGGTTGGAGGCACACCCCTAGACTGTCAGTCTTCACTTGCCAGCTAGACTTCCACCGCTAGGAACAAACCCAATGAAAAGACCTTCTCGACCAAGGACAGGTGAGGGAGTCCTGGTGGGCCCTGTGCCACCCTTCTGGTCACCAGCAGTGCCTGGCAGGTCACACAATGCTTGTAAAAGTAGTGGCAAAGAGAGGGATGTGAAGCAGAAAGACCTGTCCTGCTGAATCCAGCTCATGTCAGTGATAGAGAACTGCATAGCTGGTGTGGTCTGGCCAGGACAGAGTCATATAAGAAGGCAATAATTAAGTGTCAGGAGGTGTGACTTGGGGGACCAAGGAGAAAGGGATATCTGTGTATTTGGCCTGTGGCAGGGCAGGTAGGTGGGACAAGGAAGGGAGAGGAGCCAAACAAGCAGCAGGAGAAGAGGAGAGCAATTGTGAGTAATCTCTTGCCAGAGCTATCACAAATGTGTTTTTCCATTCTGTGGTAGCAACAGTTGTAGCACCCTTCCCTCTAGGAACCAGGTAAGATCCTGCTGGGAATGGCCTGCTGTGTCGAGCACTGTTGTCCTGTCTGTGTGCTTTGTTTGTCTGGATCCATCTGCTTTCTGTTTGCATCCTTGAATTAGAGCATAATCTTCCTGGGGTTAGCACTGTCTGTGTTCTGTATCTATAAATCACCTGGCATCGCAGCAACTTGGCTTGGACTGCACTGCCTAAGTTCAAGTTCCTGAGCTTCTTTCGTTGAGGGGATATAGTTGTGAACCTGGAACCCACTCCTGAGCAAGGCCCAGACAAAATTAATCTCATGCTGTGCAGGAAGGCTGGGAAGTCTCCTGCAGAGTAGCTTTTCTGTTAGCAAATCAGTGCTGTAACATGGGATTCCTTGCTGCTCTTTTCTTAATTTAACTTGACTTTTCACCTTGTTAGCATCTCCCACATTAAATTATGTCTGGAAAAAGGGCTGGGAAGAATGGTTGGTGCAGATCAGGGGATCTGGCTGGTTCTAGAGGCCACTGGCTGAAGACCAGTGCCATCTGAACCCATAGTCTTGAGTCTTCTCCTGTATCAGACACAGCACTAATCTGTGCACTGACCACTGCTGGCCTGGGGTCCCTCCAGATGTGACTGATTTTGATCAACCCTGGACAATGGCAGAGTTCTTGGACTCTTCATGCATCTGTATTACAGTGGGTGTCATCCTGTCTGTCCCCGAAAGAACAATCTTAGCTAGGATGGGCCTGTTTGGAACTGGCCCTTGCTTTTTTCTGCTGCACCTAATCCATCTTTTAGAGGTGTTTCTCGGTGTTTGGTTGTATATTCTGAGCATGAGATAAGGCTGGAAGAAGGGAGCAGTGGTTGCTGGATGGTTTGAGGACATGATGTGATGGATGCAGCTCACCTGCTTTTCCCTGGTGTGACACTGTTCTTGGATTGTCCTGCAGTATCGTGTGCGTCACTGGCGGGAGCTGGACAGAGAGATTTGGGTATATTGTGGTGGAAGTGCCCGGAGGAGGACGAGGCGTTTCTGGGCATGTTTTCACCTATCAGGTAACATAACTGTAATACCTCCCCTGTGTTTCAAGTATCCCTGCTAAATGGCTGTTTGCTGCGTGAACTTATGAGACTCTACCAGGCACTTCTGGTGTGGTGTGTGGTGTGTTGGGATTTGTTTTGTTTTGTTTTGTTCTCCTCCCATTCCCTCTTTAGATTATAAGAACAGCTGTACTGGGTAATAATAAAGATCCTGTAGTCTAGTGATTTTATAGGTTTTTTTTACAATGGTAACTATCAAATGCATAAAGAAAGAGGAAAAATACAGGGTATCTTTTCAGTTTGAAGATTTATTTTTTTTTTTACTGATGGCCTAACATCTTACTAAGACTTCTGACTTTCCTTTTGTTAATTTGCAAATGGTTGTTTGAACACACTTTTAGCTTCTGACCTTCAGCAGCTAGTGGCAGTAAGTCCAGAGTTCCTGTACATTGTATGGAGAAATGTTTCCTATTATTTTTAAACATGTTTCTGTTAACTTTTTGATATCTTAAACCCATCAATTATGAAATAATATTTAAGCAATTTTTAGGTACAATTATTCCTTTTTTGTCCTTGCTGCATAAGTTACAAATTATGTATCTAGTTGCTTGTCTCCCTCTCCCATAGGAAGGGGAGAGAGATGCAGAAAACTATTGGGCTTTTCCATTTTTGGCTCTATGGAACCAAATATATATACTGAACTATGCTGTTGCTCTTCTCTTGATTTTGGTTCTGTTATCACCATTTTGAGGCACTGATGAGAAGTGCAAAAGGAATTTTTACTGTGACATAAAAATGTTTTTTTCTTACTTCACTTCCCAGTAATTCCTACCACTTGGTGTGTTTTTGTTGAGATCTGTGCTTACAGCTGGTAGGGTTGTACAGGTACAAAAGCACTCTTGAATAAGCAGGAATTACTTGGAGACTCACAACTTTGTACATGTGGTTGGCTTTTTTTTCTGTAGTCTCCTTGTTCCTTCTCACTTCATGGATCTTGCTTTTTATTTATCAGCAGTGAGTTACTTGTGCCACCCTGCCTGGCTTCTCTAAATTTTGCTATATCTCCTCATTGGTACAAAGTTTTTTTTGTTACTCTGAATAATTTATCAAATTTCATTTCCCCTTTCCAGGTCACCTACAAGTACGTTTAACAGCACAGGTCTCAACACAAATTCTCAGGGCTCCCTGCTGGTAATCTCCTCATCTGCTATACAAACAGACAATTTATTTGCTACCTTGTTTTTCCTAACCTGAGTTATTAATCCAATTACTGATCTGAACAATCCCTTTGAACTGTTAATCCTAGGGTTTTTTTGGAGTAGGCAACCATTTATCTTTTAAAATTAATACTCTGATGATTACCAACACTCTAATGCTTTATTCAGCCTGTAATGACTTAGACAGGAGGAAATTTACTTTCTGGCAAATGGGTGTTTACCCCAGCATGGAAAGTGAACCTTCTCTGGGGGTGACAGTAATTTGATTCAAGGTACTTCAGACCTTGGTACCTTGGTTCCAGTCTGTCCTGAAAGCGTGGTTGTTTCTCTGATGTCAGATGCCAATCTTAGAGGATTTGGCTTGAGACCACCAGTTTGTTTTGTACAGGCAGTCAGGCAGCCATTGCAGGGTAACAGCTTTCATCCTACCAAATTGAATTTGATTTGAACCAATGACCTTGAGGTGCAAGACTCCATATCCTGTTACTTTTCCCTTGAGACACCCAATCCTCCTTAGACTCTCTTAATTTTCCTACATGAATGAGCCTTCTGTCATTAACATTTGTGTTTAAATCTTGATGGTAAACTGCAGTTTAGAATTTCAATGTGAACTTTGTCTGGTTAGTCACGCAATGTGCTGGGTGTTGTTTGGGTACCTACTCCCTCTTTCTCCAGCATGGAGCAGGTAGAGCTCAGATCCCGTGAGTTTAGATGCTTCCAGCAGATGGCACTTCAAAACTGCTTATTCTGTCTGTTATCCCTTAGCCTTGATTTGAAATAATACCTCACGTTTTACTTTTTATTAGTGGTTTCAGAATAACTTAAAAGGGAGTGTTTATCAGCAAGAAGTGTTTTTAAATAGGAGAACATTAGTTTCAGTCAGCCTGAATACATAAAGCAGTTAAATATGTAACTGTTTTGTGATCCTTTCCAATTCGGCAGCTGACTTCTGGTAAGACAGTGGTGGTGTCTGCTTTAATTAGTTGAAATGGGCAAGGTATGTAGCTCTGTATATGTGAAAAGTATACATCAGCATGGGTCTAATGTTTAGTACACAGGTGCACAAAAATGTAAACATGTAACAAACTTCAGCACCACACTTCTGAAACCCTGGATCAAGTAGCTGTGAACTACTGATCCTCTGCTGATTGGGCTGACAAAGAGCAACTTAGGGCAATTTTGGCCACCTTGTTGTGTTGGTGCAGTTCTTCATTGTCATGTTCTTGATCCAGAACTTAAAAATTCTAAGCTGGTGATACAGTCTAAATTTTGAGAATGAACTGTACCAATTTACCACCTGGTAAATACATGAAAAATTCTGCAGAATATTATGCCAGTCAGGGGATGAAATTTGGTAGCAGGACAGAAGGTGTGTATGTCCCATGAGACCAGCTGTGGAGGACAAGGCTTGTGGGTCAGAAAGAGTCCTCACTTGTGCAGCTTTCGTGCAAATTTTAGAGAAGGGAGACAGAAGAGAATAAAAGCATCTTTTAGGGTGAAACTTCTTAAATCCATCACAGCACTATCTGGAAATGAAAGTTGTCTCCCATGACTCAGGGTGGAAAACAATCTGTATCAGCCAGTGTTATGGCAGAGTGAAGAAGCCTGTGCTAAATGCATTGAATGTGATGAGAAAGAAAAAGTTCGAGGGAAAACTAGAAATATGTTTATGGAGTATGTCTGACAAAGTTGAAGTTTCAAGATCAGTGTGCTGTACTGAGGGAATCTTGTAGTAACGGCATGATAGTTTTTCAGCCTGTATTTGGGATCTGCAGGCAGCTACATCCTGAATCATAGAAAGATGAGGCTTAGTGAAGCCTCAGTCGGAGGTAGAAGACATGAATAGGGAATTTTAATAACCAAGGTACTCTTTTAGAGGCTTAAGAGATGAATTAATGCAAGAGGGAGGTCTAACATCCAGGGTTGATACCAAGCTTAGATATGAATGCTGACTGGAAGGTTTATGGGAAAGATTTGGTGTGCTTATTCCTTCTTGGAGACTGCAATGAATTTGTACTTCTTTCTATTAATTGCTGTTTCATTTCTTTGTAGGAAAAGAATAATATTAAGTGGGCTTCCAGGTGGGACTACATTTTGGAGTCCATGCCTCATACAAACATCCAGTGGTTTAGGTAAGATCTGCATTTTTTTGGGGGGTGAAGTCTTGCTGGGGAGCACAGAGATTTCTTAGTAGGGCTTCTAGGGATTTATAGATATATAAAATGTCTGCTGTGGTAGAACAAAGTCTGTAAGTTTTTAGGCAAGAAAACTTTTTTGTTTTCATACGTGAAGTAAATTTCCGTCTCTTGGGAGCAACTGTCACGTTGAATTTTGTAAAAGGATTGCATCATTATTGTCCAAAGGGAAAGCAGCTTCCAGTGTTTTACTCTTATCACCTCCATTCTGGAGAACTTTTGCTCCTTTGCAGTGTTCTTATTGTCACTGTCTGGGTTTCTCTGACTGACAAGTGAGAGGTACATGTGTGTAGTGTGTGTTTTGTACTCAGCTGCTGCTTACAGTAAAAAAGGAGGTCTTTTTTTACGAGTAAAAGATGTATGTGAAAAGCTCTTTCTTATTTCCCTCCTTACCATGCAAAAGTAAGCACATAATTTGTGTTGAAGTGTTAATGTTTTGCAATGTAAGTGTTTGAAAAGGCTAATCTGATTGAATTGATCTCTACAAAATATTAAAGGGCATGATGTCAATTTAATTGGTTGATAGATACAAAATCTACGTGACAGTGCTTTAAGAGCTGTAGCTGTTTCACCAGGGAAATTACTTCTGAGGTATATAAGGAGGAAAATAGAGAAAAGCAATATGTAACTGTCTTGAGAATTAGCAATGTATCATGAAATACTGTTCTTCTCACTTCTGTCACCGAAGAAATCATATAGGTACACAACTGAGAACAGTTCTCTTCTCTGGGTGGGGAAAACATTGAAAGGTCTGAATATCTAAGACGTTTCATCAGACTTGAGCTGTACATTTGGTGTGAACTGAGTGCATGTCCTGAAACCTGAATAACTGGATTGAAAGTTTGACTTTTTCTTTATTTACAGTATAATGAATTCCCTCGTAATTGTTCTCTTCTTATCTGGCATGGTGGCTATGATCTTTCTGAGGACTCTTCATAAAGATATTGCAAGATACAGCCAGATTGACTCTTCAGTGAGTAAAATTTACAGCTTTTACATGAGCACATTGCTCTGGTGATAGTGATGTCTATCAATTAGTTTTGAGTACATCTAGAGAGATGCGTAACTATGATGAATTTAAAACATGCTAATATCTCTGGGGGTTAAAAGTAGCTGTATTGCTATTTCATCTTTTCTAACAGCAGGAATACATGGTCAGATGTGAAGATCTTACTTTTCTAGCATCACTGGATGAACTTGTAATATGCAAGGACAGGCTTCAGGTTTTAGAAGTACGTGGAGTGATTCACAGAAACTTTTTGATCGTAAACAAACTTGTATTTGAAATGCAAGTCCCTTTGTTCCCAAGGAAAGCCTGGGTTTTAATAAATACTTTATTAATAATTTAATAATACATTATTATGTACACCAACAACCACAAGACACAGTGATGGCATTAAAAAGTGTTTTGGCATTGGCTCACCATCAAGACATGGCAATTTCTCCTGAGTCCTGTAGTTGCATTATGGAGTCAGTCAGGACATGCAGCAGGTGGTATGACACACACCTCAGCAGCCAGTGTGTTCTTTATGGAATCACCATCCTTGGAGACAGTGAAGAGCCATTTGGACATGGTGCTGGCTAACCTGCTTTAGGTGGCCCTGCTTGTGCAGGACAAGCTGAACTCCAGAGGTCCCTTCCAGCATCAGCCATAAGTGTGTCAATGCAGCCCTGTTTTAAGTCATGTTATGTGGCCTTAGGAAAGACCTGGTAATCACTGTGTCAAACTGAGTCTGGTTTGTCTGACTTAATGAGGTGGCTGAAACCTTTTGCCATCTGACTGAACCTGTTGTGAGTTCTTTTGAAATATGTACTCCTTAAAATGGGAAAGGGGCAGGTTCCTCTAGTGGAAGAGAATGTAGCTGGTTGTGAGTTAAAAACACTTGACCAGTAGACTCAGAGTAATTTTTACTCAGCCTTTCTCTCATTCTCATCAGTAAAAGGGATATCTGCAACCTAAGCATGAGAAGTAATGTCAGATGCTACAAAGGTTTGAATTTTCGCTGCTGTTGCTGTCTACCTGGTTTAAGAAATACTTCAAAATGCACAAAACATTTTCATATTGAAACTAAAACATCTGAAAATACTTTTATTCTTCTTTGTGGTTTTGATATTAAATATCTTTTGTTAATGCAAATCCAGACAGTAATTTAAGTTGAAAAATTTTCCCACATCCTTTAACTGATTATTTCTGTGAGGCTCTCAATTAAATTATGTTCATTATCTTATACTGTGTTGTCTTTATTAGTTGATAATTTTTAATGTAATAAAGAGCAAGACTTGTAGAAGTTTGATTAGTTTGTATGGGTAACAGCAGGGATAGGTGTGACTTTCAGAAAACCACACTTTTTATTTTCTTGCCAGGTGTGAGAGACTTAAGGATCTGTTTCAATTCAAGGAACTTATTTAAAAAGGTGTGAAATATTTGTGCAAAAGAGGAGCTGGGCTGAGGAATCTGCAGTGAAGCAAATTAGTATCTCACACTTAGGGGATGCTGGTGATTGCACTTGAAAAGAAATCGATGCAGGAGCCAGTGGATGTGGTCCTAATATGTGCATTTAATGTTCAGCTAATGCCAGCTGGCTGTAGTGTGTTGTGGATTTAGTGAGACAAACAGTAATGAAGTGTTTAGAAATCACTAGATTGCTCTGAGGGTCTAGTGACTAAGAGAGGATTCCAGAACTGAAGAGAACTCACGTCAGTGTGTTTTCAGCAGTGAGAGTTGGTTTTTTCCAAATCTCTTTGGTAATGACTACTTGAGTGTAGGGGACTTCAATCTGTTAGAATGTTCTGAGAACTAAGCTAAATTAATGGATAAGATGAGGATTACTGCACTTCTAAAAAATTTAAGAGTAATTTTCCTCAAATACTCTTTGAAACTCTAAAGTGTAGCATGCTACTTGGTTTAGCTGTCCAATTCTTATCCTTATCTTGAACATAAAGGTTAGCAATATAAAACACCGCTGAATTTTTTTAAAACAGAATACTCTGACTCACAACTAATTGGCCTGTAATGAAAGAGTTTTATTAAAAACTGAGCTTTGAGATGAACACTGTGGCCCATAGGCCAATACAGGGATCTCAATCTGCCAAACTTGGTTTCTCTTTATTTTTCATAAACCAAGATAAATTCTAGTAAGCAGAGGTATCATTGTGGGGAAGTCAAAGACAATCTTCCAGCAAAAATAAATGTTACATAATCTGTTGCAGTTTAAGGTGCTCTGTGTTATTTGCCAGCGTCATCTGCATTCTTTCTTACCCTGCTTTTTTGCATGCTGTAATTCTAGTGGTAAGCAGTCCTTTGACCTGAACTCAGTATTCCTGGGTTGAATGAAACCTGTAGCTTTTAATTTTATGAGGAGGAGAGTGGTCTTGTGGTCGTGTGTTGGTTTTGGTTGGTTTATTGTGTGAGGGGCAGTGTCTGTTTTGAGTGACTCTATTGAAGAGCCTTGTTCTTCAGCAGTGGTTCCTTAGGATCCCCCCTGCCCATGCCATCCATCTTTTCACCTCTGGGAGTGGGACAGAGTGTTGGTATTTGTCCCTCATGGTTCCAGGGAACAAACTTTCTTTTGTAGTACAGAGACAGTTTCATTCTTTCCCAATATTGTCATTGAGACTGATGTGCTTTGAAATGGAAGCAGAAAAAGATAAATCCTTTAACTAGATTGAAGTTGAATTAAATGGAATGCTTTGTTTTAGTTTAAATTTAGAATGATGTTCTGTGGTTTGGCTAATTACATTTGGTTTTTTCTTGCTTTAAGAGATGAGGATTTTCTTGATAAATCCTGCCTTTTTCACTGAACCATTAGGGGGTTATGAAATCAATGAGTGATGAATCAGATGCAATTAGTCTGACTTTGGATCTTAACTGGAAGTTAATCAAACTTTAAATATGTATTTTGCATCTTGTTTGTGTTAATTCACTACTGCATTATGTATCTTTTCTAAAGACTTTGTTGATTTTATACAGGAAGATGCCCAAGAGGAATTTGGCTGGAAGCTGGTTCATGGAGATGTGTTTAGACCTCCAAGGAAGGGAATGTTACTCTCTGTCTTTTTGGGCCAAGGAACGCAAATTTTCATTATGACATTTATTACTTTATGTAAGTAACTTCATTAAGGTGATGTGTTTGTAGTGTAATAGTGATAAGAAAGATGCAATATTATTAAACAAATGACAGAAGCCTTTAAGTCCTTCCTTTAGTAAAATAAAATATTAATGCAGTTTCATAACACTAATCTGGATAGCTTCAGTAATGCTGTTGTGTTGTCATTGAAAACATTGTGCTGTCTGGGCTAATTCAGATTCTTCATGAGTACAGAAATCAAACTTCCTTCTTACAAGTTTCTTTTTAAAAAAGAAACAATTTGTCATGCTGTAAATTATGTAAGGGTCCAGTAATGCAAGTTCAAAGACATGTAATCAAAGCTTTAATGTTCTGGGAACACTTTCTATCCAATATGTTTGATATGACAATCTGCAGCCGTGCAGAAATAAGAGCCAGAGTGCACACCAATGAAATGGTGCTGACACAACATTGAGATAATGAGAGCCTACCTTAGATAGCTATAAATGCATATGATGATGTCATCTGTCACAGGATGGTGTTTTCTTATCTGTTATCTGTAAAGTTTATGACCATTCCTTTTCTTACTATATAATTGATTTAGAAGGTACACTGATACTTACTACACAAGAAGCATTTTTGAAATTTTGTTCTTCAAGTTTGATTCAGATTTTTTTGATCTTTCATAGAGGAGCGACTATTTATTACATGATGCTTTAGGATTAGTGGAATTTTCTTGATAGGCTTGTCTTTCAGTGTTGGTCACAACTCTGTATCTTACTTAACTGCAATAGTTTCCTGTGCAACCAGTGTAGCATAGAAAGAAATTGGTGGTGAGAGAAAGTCCTTTATAAAACCAACTGTACACTGGAGATTACTGACAAACTCCTTTTTTGCAAGTCTCTGTAGGCTGATCTCTACAATTGGTTCACACTCAGGCAACCTTCTGTGATTAAAGAGGCTAATTTTCAGGATAGAGTGTTCTTAAGTAAAACATCATGGTGGATGGTGGCATTTTACTTTTCAGCCTTTTGGCTTTGAGAAATTTTCTTCTTAAGAGGCGAGGTGGAAAGAATGCTTTTGAATGAAACAGTGCTGTTAGAGGTATGGTCAAGCTTATGCACACAGTCTTCATTTAAATGTCTGGTAGTGAAAGGGATAAACCTTCACAGTGATTTGTTACAGGGGAATTTTGACATGTGTCCACAAATAACTAAAGCTTTTTGTCTCTCCAGTCCTGGCTTGCCTTGATTTTCTTTCCCCTGCCAACCGTGGTGCTTTGATGACCTGTGCTGTTGTATTGTGGGTCTTGCTGGGAACTCCAGCTGGTTACGTGTCTGCTAGAATGTACAAGAGTAAGTATGTGCATTTATTTAATGTGACACAACATGTTAAATTCAGAATTGCTGGGCTCAATATAAACCTCAGATGGGAACTGGTGTCTCAGACAACAAATCTACTTCTTGCTGCCATTCTGTAAAACAGTTGGAAAAAGTCTTGAACTTGAAATTGTTTTTACTTTTTCCCCTCAGCATTCAGAGGTGAGAAGTGGAAGACAAACGTCTTGCTTACAGCTCTACTTTGCCCTGGGTTAGTATTGTTTCCCCTTGTGGGAAGGAGTTGGGGAAAAAAAAGTGAATTGTTATGAAGCTTGTTTGTGTGATTTTGTTTATGGTTCTCCAAACTGCTGTTCCCTTTCTGTACTGCCTATGTGTGAATACGAAGAAAAGAAAATTCTGAGGAGTTGGAGCCTGGTACTCTAGAACACAGGTTCTTAGCATCTTGTTTTGTAGTCAGCTGTGGGGGTAGGAGGAATGATGCAAGGTAGTGTCACAGCCTTTGAGAGTCACTGCACCAGAACATTAGACACAGTGATGGGGTAGTTCCAGTCTGGTACCATAGCACTTGGTATGTTCCAGGTAATTCTGGTTGTCGTCTTCATACATAAATGTAGGTAATGTCCAGTTCCTTGGTTTCAGCTTTGGGTACTGCCAAATGTCCTTGGCTAAAGTGGAGGAAAAGATTATAAATTTCATAAGGTATTTCTTCCTCCCCAAAACCCCAGAATGAATAAAACATGGCTTGGTTTCAAGTAAAGTAGAATTTCATCAAATGAAAGGTAATGTCTTCGATAACAACCGAGTGTAGTATTTCTATAGAAATCTTACTTCTAAACAAAATGTGCTTCAGTCTCCCTGCTGTCATTTAGATATTATCAGGA